AAATAATAATTCAATCATATCTATATAATCCAGTGTGTTCAATAGCTAGGTGTGGGGGCAATAACATTCAAACAAAAAACTGCATCCAAATATCACAGTTTTCTCCAAATAAGAAAAAATACATGTGTGAATTGTATAAGTTTCTTTAAAAACACATGGTTTACATAAAATCTTTTATGTATTTATAATTTGAAAGCAAACAAATAACCCTGTTTAGGAAAGGGACATCATACCTTTCAGAAAATATAATTTGCATCTTAATTTTGCAATGAAAACGTATTTAACAGTAATATATATGTCCAGGGTGGACATATCTTATGGTTTATGCTTCGAATAATGGCCCATAATTATCTTAAAATAATGTGTGTGAGCTCAGCTAATATGTTTCTATAATACTTGAGTGTTTACTATTTATGACATGACATAACGCGAATGGGAAATTAAAACCAACATTTTTGAGGGTTTGTGAGGGTTGAAAAGGCACTCTATGGTGATATTGACCCCTTTAGTTTTGACCTTCTGACATACTTTCTACCAACATTACATACATAACAGATATTTCCTGGGAATCTTTGCAATAGTTGATTTGTACAATGTGTTTGTTCATGGCAACATTTTAAACTAGCTTTAAAAAGTATATCTTGCTGGAAAAGTATTGGTAGTCACTGGTATATACCATATGTTGTGTGTTGTTGGATTCTAGGCATCTTAACTACCCCAGAAAGGCTTTGTCAACAAGCTTCATCAGAAAAATCATGCTTGACCAATCATGAATACATTAGCTTGGACTAGCATGAAAATTCATGCCGGTTTAACCTAGCCTTTTCAGCAGGGATAGCACAAATCCCCCTTGATCCACATAATTTAAGGTATCATTCATTTTTTATATTATTATTTATTTTTTATTATATTGGATCCATTAGTACACTTCAGTCACCTTTTATATCATTAATATTATATTATCTGCAAGTACAGTTTTTTTTTCATAAATACGTTTACGATTTGATTTGAAGTGAACATACAATATAATTAAGTGTACTTCTTTTTCACAAGGGAGCCCTTGTGAGGGTGTCCTCACTAGTTAAAAATGCTCAAAATCTGACAAAATCCTATATTCTTTATGATCTTTTGACTCAGTGTGCAGATAAACAAACTTAGAGTGAATCCTTTAAAACCATCATGGAATCCAAATTACTTTCTTAATACTGATATTACTGAAATTGATTCATTAATGGACTGTATTTAAAAAAAAAGAAAAGAAAATAATGTTTTCTTAATAATGTGAAACATAATGTTTTACTGCTAAAATACGTTGTCTATCAGATGAATATGCAGACTCAACTTTAATCCATTCACAGGTTGATTTCATCATTTTGTCCAATCAATGTTGGACATGACTAATGTGCCTTAAGTGGCACAATTACTAATTTATTAAGGTTTTCTTTTTAAATACTGTATGTAGTTGCAATTGCTGTATCATGTTTACGTATTTCATTTGTTTCAACAGTGTTGCATTAGCATTGTATTTTTCATGTGTGTGTGTGTGGGGGGGGGAAGGGGAGAATTGCATGTGTGTGATGTGATCTGTAATGACATATCTTTAAGGCAGATGCAAGCATGGCAAAGACAATCTGTCCTCCTGACACAATAGAGCAGTGACTATATCAGACCATTTGCTGTTTTTGTGTCTGTACACGATTCTCTTTGGAAAATGTCTCAGATCTTGCAAACCAAGAGGACTGAACAAATGTTTCAGGGTGATTTTCCACTGACTGAACACTGGTTTCTGCAGGGCTGAGTTAATGAATAGACTACACACACACACTCACACACACACACACACTCACACTCACACACACACTCACATACACACACACACACACACTCACACACACACTCACACATGCCTGTGGCATTTTCACCCGCTTCTGTTGTCTTGTGACCTCTCAGTAATTGACTTGGCTCATGTTAACTAGATATAATGGGTCAGTTCTGTTTGTAGAGTGAAAGACAAAGAGAGAGACAGACAAACGGATGTATGCATTTATCTTTCTTGGCCAAAAACATAACACTGTGACTAAAAAAGGTTTAAATATTGCGACTTTTAATCCATGTCTTGCATTAATGTCATCTATGTGCTAGTGTAAATTAGTTTTTTGCAAATACAGATTTGAAATTCACAGTCTTTCTCTTCCGGATTTTTTTATACAGTATATGGAAAACAGACTGATAATGATTCAGGAGTGTATCCCAATGTTTATCCAATCAAATGCTGTCTATAAAGAAAAAAAAATTCCGCTAATAAAACAGTTGGCTAGCAATAACAAGTAACAAATCAAATTTATATATACAGTAGTATATATACTAAGTCAACTTAAGAGTACTTCAAAAGAACACACTTTCATGATACTTAAGTAAACCTTTAAAAAGTGCACTTTGTCATTATGCCAAATTAAAAGTGTTAAAGTACATTTCAAATCACGTTTTAAAAATCTTTTGCATAAAACAGTTGGCTAGCAATAACAAGTAACAAATCAAATTCCTTTCAACAGGAAATACATCATTACATGAAAACACTTGTGTAAAATAAGTGTACTTAATTGTATTGAATGTGCATTTTAAAAATCTTTTGCCATGCTTTACAGAAGTACACTTATTTTGATGTGTTGACTAACATACTAAAGCAGATGTAGTCCCTGATTATAATTTTAACTGTAGTGTGATATTTAATTTTACATATATTTGATTTTACATTTGCAGTTAACATAAATTTAATTGTCTGAAATTGAAAACATTACATTTGTTCTTTTAAAGTATATTATTTATACTATCCAGTTTTTAAAGTATGCTGAAGTGTACTTCCTTTCACTAGGGGAAGCCATTTCATGAGATCTTTAAGATATAAGTGCACAGACCAGGATAATGACATCCACTGTCAAATATTTTCAATATTGATTTTTGTACGTGTTGTTTTTGCCTACAAGGACCTGAATAATAATAGCCAGGCAGCTATTTTAAGAACTATCTCTTTGCTTTCCACCCTCTTCTGCTATTGTGTTCAGCTTTCCTTTCTGATGGTCTTTCCCTTGTGACTTTTTTTTTGTAATTATGACCTCTGTCTTTTTTTACTACTTTCTGTCTCTGTCTTTATGATGTGTCTCTATGCAGTGAGATGAGGAGTTACTAATCTTGCCCCCTGGTTATGATAACCATGGCAACTGTGCGATCTTCCATGGGAACCAGATGGAATGCTCATCGGGATGGAATGTTTCAGATCTCACTGTCATTGCTGAAGATATTTGCTCAGACTTGTGCTTCCTCAGAAGGGGGCGGGGCTAAATCTTGTACTGATGTTGTCAGAGTATTGTTTGGGTAGTCAGTCAGGACAGATTCTAACAAGCAATAAATTCTATCCATTCTATGTTTCTGTCCTAAATATTTGACGACGAGTAACAAGACGCTGTGTGGGTTATTTGGTGTTGATTTCTTGTGTTGCACTAGTACGCAGGTCCATCAGATCTCATTGGCCAAAAATTCTAGACATGTTCTTGATTGTAATTTTGACGCATCATGCAACCTTTTTGCGCTGAGTGTGAACAGACAGATTTACAACTTTGCATCTGTTTAGGATGCTGATTTTTCCTAATGAAAAAGAAGTCTGCTTGGTATTACTATTTGCTATTAACTAGTTGCTTATTAGCATGCATATTACTAGCAAATTGGCTGTTTATTAGTACTTATAAAGCACATATTAATGCCTTATTCTGCATGACCTTATTCTAGATCCCTAAACCCTAAACTTAACAACTAGATTCAGAAGCAAAAGAGTTTAAGGGGTTTTGACATCAAGCCTAATTCGTTCTAACTAGTAAATCATATGTGTGTTTTGTTGTTAACAGCATCGAGCATCGGGCCGGGTTCTGTTCGAGATGGTCTGCTTGCATCTGAACCTTATTGAGGGGGATTACTTTGGCCTAGAGTTCCAGAGCCATCACAGAAAAATGGTAAGTCAGATTTATTTATTTTTTTACACCAAATACAGTCATAATACATTTTTAGGACCATTTTCCACCATTTCTCTGACCCATATAATTAAACAAGTTGATTTTTGCTGCTGTAGGAGCTCAATGATATAAACACAAAATAGTTGTTGTGAATATGTCAGTGAGTTTATGAAATTTAGTTGTTGCGGTGTGTTTATGTAAGCTGAGGCTGTGTTGTACAAGGCCTTTTTAAAGATCTGTGTGTCAGTCAGACTCATCTCTGCTGTGTGCTCTACTCCACAGGTTTGGTTGGATTTACTAAAGCCCATTAGAAAGCAGATCACACGTAAGAGGCCTCACTGCTGTGTGTGTGTGTGTGTGTGTGTGTGTGTGTGAGAGAGAGAGGGAGTTTAGCATCTCTATGATTTCCACAAGACATACTAGTCTCTATATTTAAATGATCTGAGTCTAACACATTCATGCTAGGCTTATATAAAGTGTGTGTGTGTGTGTGTGTGTCCAGGGCCCAAGCACACCGTCCTTCGGTTTGTTGTGAAATTCTTCCCCCCTGATCATTCGCTGCTGTTGGAGGAGCTGACCAGGTGAGGCCATCCCTCCACTCGCCCTGAGCTCATTCACTGAGGCTTTCATGTGTCTCTCACATGTGCTTGTATGCCTGTTTTCTCTCAGGTACTTGTTTGCGCTGCAGGTGAGGCAGGATCTGGCCAGCGGACGTCTCACGTGTAGCGACGCCAGCGCTGCTCTTTTGGTCTCTCATATCATCCAGTGTGAGTTATGCTGACTTTTGCTGAAATTTAAAGGGGTCATATGATGTTTCTAAAAAGAACATTATTTGGTATTTGGGCTGCGTTATGCAAATCTTCCCACAGAGCGACGTAGGTATGTTGGGGCGTGTTAGAACGAGCCGTTTTAGGTAGGTGTGGCTGACTCTTAACTTTTATAAAGAATATCTCTTTGGATTTGAGACTTTAGTCTTTGCAACTTTACAGATCTTCTTTATGCACCAAGAGCTTGTAACACTCCAAAGAGAAAGGAAAAATTGAAATCACATCATATGACCCCTTTAATATACTAAAATGTATTTGAAATACATCTATTTCATGTTAAGTATACTACAAATACATTTACATATGTATGTACTTAATAAAAATACCCTGCAATTCTACTGTTGGTATACTAAACTGATATACTTAAAGTCTGCTAAATTGGAACAACTTGTTTTGTACTTAATGCGTTTTAATTGTGCGGAAGTAGTGCTGAAGTCCAACTAAAGATGAACTGAAGTATATTTGATTGTGCTAAAGTGGAACTATTGCATGTATACTTCAAGTACACTTTAAATATCTTGTATTTAAAGACCGAGTCTTCTATCACTGTCAAGTCATTTACTCATAGTGAAGCTGTGTGTGTGTTTGTTTAGCCGAGATTGGGGATTTTGAGGAAACTCAGTGTAGACAGCATTTACTTAACACCAACTACATCCCTGACCAGATGGCCCTGATGGACAAAATCATGGAGTTCCACCATAAACACATGTGAGTCTCCCAAACAAAACACTAAGGCTCACTGTTTGGGAACTTACAGTAGATCACCGACATCTATTTGATTTCCCTGTTGAAAAAAACAGCATATGATGGTTAGGTATGTTTTGAAGCATGGCAGCTGGTTTGCTGGTTTAAGCTGGTCCTTAGTTGGTCCTGAGCAGGTTTTAAGCTGGTTATATAAGCTGGTACTAAGATGGTCATATGCAACTAGCTCCTGCTCAGGACCAGCTCAGGACCAACTAAGGACCATGCTTCAAAACATACCTAACCAGCATATGCTATTTTTCAGCCTGATTATGCAATTTCATCTGGAAGTAATTTTCAACAATTTGTTCAGCAATTTGATACAAAATGAACTAACCTTTAAAGTGTTCATCAATAGTGACATTAAAACACATTTTAGGCTTAATATTAAGAAATGTCCATTGTGCAATAAAGAAATACTCCAAATAAGTTGCATTATCATTTTTATATCAATTATATGTATATATATATATATATTATTACTTTTTTACTAGGCTAGTTAGCCTTAACTAAAACAGATATTTCAGACTCTAAAATATGATTGGATGAGCTGCACTAAAAGGTATAAAATAGCCCATATACACACCTGTAACTACACAACTGTTTAATTCTGTATTAATGCATCAGGTTACTATTTTGTTTGGCAACTGAGAGTCTACAGTCAGGCTAATGAACTCTATTATGTGGCAGAAGAAATGTTTATTGTGACTATTATTATTGCCTAAGGGGTTTTATCAGTACACCTTGGTAAAAATCACTGTAATGCACAGCCACTCGGAGTCTTGCAATTGATACCATTTATTGCTGTGCTTATAGGACAAAACAGCTTCAAAATGAACAAAAAAATTGACTGTTTTCAGAAATGTTTCGAACTCAGTAGGTCAAATATTATATGATATGTATTGTTATTATAACATTTTTCTATAGTGATTGAATTTAATGAATTATGTCTAAAACTACCTATTGCTATTTTATGTTAGATAATAGTTTATCTTATATCAATAATCCTATTTCTAAAGAACATAGTTATCTGTTACTTAAAAAATTTAATACAGTTTGTTCCCTATTCATTTAAAGTGCCATATAGTATAACACATAAGAGCAACTAATGCATGCTGTAATCCAACCGGACAATCATTCAGTAAAAGGTTATAAAGCCATGGACATGTATGTTAATATTTTTATACATCCTGTTCCTTCTATATCTCTTTTTCTGTCTCTGTCTTCTATCACTGTCAAGTCATTTACTCATAGTGAAGCTGTGTGTGTGTTTGTTTAGCCGAGATTGGGGATTTTGAGGAAACTCAGTGTAGACAGCATTTACTTAACACCAACTACATCCCTGACCAGATGGCCCTGATGGACAAAATCATGGAGTTCCACCATAAACACATGTGAGTCTCCCAAACAAAACACTAAGGCTCACTGTTTGGGAACTTACAGTAGATCACCGACATCTATTTGATTTCCCTGTTGAAAAAAACAGCATATGATGGTTAGGTATGTTTTGAAGCATGGCAGCTGGTTTGCTGGTTTAAGCTGGTCCTTAGTTGGTCCTGAGCAGGTTTTAAGCTGGTTATATAAGCTGGTACTAAGATGGTCATATGCAACTAGCTCCTGCTCAGGACCAGCTCAGGACCAACTAAGGACCATGCTTCAAAACATACCTAACCAGCATATGCTATTTTTCAGCCTGATTATGCAATTTCATCTGGAAGTAATTTTCAACAATTTGTTCAGCAATTTGATACAAAATGAACTAACCTTTAAAGTGTCCCTATTATGCCATTTTTAAGGTTCCTAATATTGTTTTGGGAGTCTCCTACAATAGGATTGCATGCATGCAAGGTCAAAAAACGCTTTCGTTCTCTCAAAATATGCATTTAATATCACCTCATTTTCCAACGATTCTCAAACGATTCGTTCGAAGCAGTTCAAAGATTAAGTCTCTCTAAACCGCTCCTTTCTGTGAGCCTACTCTGCTCTGATTGGTCAGATGGCCCAGTCTGTTGTGATTGGTCTACCGCGTAGAGCGCGTGTCGGAAACGATGCACCCATTGCCATAGTTCCGAATTTTGAACGCTCGATGGAAAATATAAACATCTATTATTTATCATACTTGTAATTCAGTGGAGCCAGCTGGTCCAAATAAACAGGGTACTGAGCCATCTTTCAAGAGCAAGCATTTAGTGAATCCGCGTTGAACTCCCCGAGATTTTTTTTTTTAACCCCCCAAGATTAGAGAAGCAGTCGTCAGTAGAATTCCGTGTTTGTGGGCGGGGTCAAGTGTAGCCATCACAGAAGTGGAATTCGAATTACTAATGACTCGTTTAGGCTGTAGAGAGTCGATTCTTTATTTTGGGAGACTAACTTTATTTATCGTGCACTTTCAGCTTTACAACTTTGCTGATCGTTTACATTCACATACAGCTACATTACACACTGCACGAAAGGCAATATTGGAAATGGCATAATAGGGGCACTTTAAAGTACAGTATAGCATATAGCAAAACACCAGGCAGTGTTATAACTTGTGTTTGTGTGTGTATATAAGTGGACAGACGCCAGCAGAGTCAGATTACCGGTTGCTGGAGGTGGCGTGCAGGTTGGAGATGTACGGCATCCGACTCCATCCTGCTAAAGACAGAGAAGGAACCAAACTCAGTCTGGCTGTAGCACACGGCGGCGTCCTCGTGTTTCAGGTGCATGCAATCACACACTCTCTCTCACACACACACACACAAGCATACATGAACAACAGCATGACATGAGTTGTGTTTTACTCAGGGACACAACAGGATCAACAACTTCAACTGGTCTAAAATCCGCAAGCTGAGCTTCAAGAGAAGGAGGTTCCTTATCAAACTAAGAGCAGACCCTAGTGTGAGTTTCATGTAGTATATTAAGCTCTCATTTATCATGTCAAATTGTAACGTGGAGTCTCTGTCTGTCTCGTCCTGTAGCAGAATGTTCATCAAGATACTCTGGAGTTTTTTATGGCGAGTCGGGACTGCTGTAAAATGTTTTGGAAGATCTGTGTGGAGTATCACGCCTTCTTCAGGCTCTTTGAGGAGCCCAGACCCAAACCTAAACCGGTGCTGTTTAGCAGGGGCTCATCCTTCAGGTTCAGGTGCTAAACCTGATTAAATGCTTTTGGTAACATTTATATGTGTGAATTTGTCTGTAGGTGAAGTGTGTGAACCCTTGTGAAAAGAAGCGCACTTAACTGTATTGCATGTGCACTTGTAGTGTACTTCAAATCTAAAAGTATTTTTTTCAACTGTACTTGCAGGTAATGTAATATTAATTAAATAAAAGGCAACTTAAGTGTACTTAAAGAGAGTACAATTATTATGTTTTAATACTTCTGTGTCATGCTTTAAAGAAGTACACTTATTTTGAAGAACATGTCAAGTACTTGACTTTAATTTTGACTGTAGTGTATTATTTTGCTCTTGTCAAAATGTTGTGTAATCCAGTTGGACTAATTGCCATCTCTTCTCTGCAGTGGTCGGACACAGAGGCAGGTGATAGATTATGTGAAGGAAAATGAGTTTAAAAAACTGCCCTTTGATAGGTGAGCCTGATCTGTTATTTTAATGAATGGAAAGTCAGCATTTCTGCACTGCTATTCCTTTAAGATTTAATTAGTGTAGAAACTCGTAAGGCTGTGTGGTTCATTATTCGTGTGTTTGTTGTTCTGTCTTTCAGGAAACATAGTCGAGTGCAGTACAACAGCAGTCTGTCACCTCTGCGTTCTGCACAGCACCAAGTGCCAAATCAAGTTAGTGTCTTCACATAGGAATCTTTTCAAGCCATTTTTAACTAAGAGAGATGTTTAATAAGGAATATTTTGGGTTCAGCACAACTTAAGCTCACTCTAAAGCATTCGTTGCATAATGGTATTATGTTGAACAGCAAATATTTTAGAAATGGACGGATAAATTTAATTAAATATTAAAGATGCATTCAGAAGTCTAATGCTAATTTTAAAAAGTTGTATGCATAAGAAATATATACTAAAACATAATGAAGACTGTACTCATTTTCTAAAAAAAAAAAAATAAAAGTATTTTAAAGGGGTCATAACCTGCCTTTTTACTTATTTTCTACTGTATAAGTCCACTTATAATGTAATCAAGATTTTTATATGAAAAAATCATATCATCATAATTTAGAGGAAATAGGTTTTATTCTGTCTGTTTTGTCCCCCTCTCATCAGAACGCTCTGTTTGAATATGTGCGGCGAATTGAAGACACAGAAGTAAACGCCCACTGCTGTGATTGGCTAATAGTTGTGTATGTTTGACAGCCTACATCATTAACAGATGGACGCTGCTGTAATTTAGGTTAAAAATGCATAAAAACTCAGTACATATCAAATGATCTGTAAGAAGAGACAAAGCAATAGTGATCACGTAATAAAAACGGTTACTCACACTTGTGTGTTGCGACATTACTGTCGGATTTAATATAGTTGGCACAGCATCGTCTTTTAGTTTTAATCTTTCTAAAAACCCTGCGTCGAATCGTGCCTTGTTTGTAAACGAATCCGCGTAAAACGACGCAGTCTGGTGCTTCATTTAAAAATAAAGTTCAATCTCTCTTTCCTAACATTGGGATCAGAAGGAAGGCAATGCAAAGACTATTTTTTTGCATAACTTGGCACTGCACAGCGTCTTGTTGTCTTCGCAGCATCGCCTCTCTCGTAACCTCTATATGCGTGAATCGGTGGGCGGGGCTAAACAGGCAGCGATGTAGAAGCAGGCGTTGATCTTCTTCTGCGGAGGCGGTGCTTATCCACACTATTACATCATAGAGTGGAACATTCCACAAGCTGTCGTTTTGGCAGATCAGATTCAGTAAAAGCTGACTAATGAAAAATGTTTTGAGTCCTGAAACTTACAGGATGTTTTTATCGTACAATGACCTCTTATGTCGAAAGATCAAGGGAACTTTGATTTCTCAGCTCATGACGCCTTTAATTATGTATGGCCTCAAAGAAAAGCCTCACGCTCATTGACCATTGTCTCGGTAGATAGTTGCATAGTGTAGTTTCAAAAATTTGCCAATGGAACAGAGCTATTATCATGATTTACCATCAGAGACAACAGGAGAAACTAACTGTATGACTGTATGGCTGAAGAAGCAGAAAATGTCTGAAGCCAGAAGACAGAAAAACTAAAACAATCATAAACATCAGCATGCTATAAAAAAAGGTGGAAACATTTGACTGAGAAAATCCTGAGTAGCGATGCCCAAGTTGCTTCTTTTTGGTTGGACAAATAAGGGAATTAATTACTGTGTAATCCGCTTTCTAAAACTCACTAGTATTAGTGTAATTTACATAAAACTCAGAGACGGTCATGCAGATTCATGCAACAGATGACAGTGAAGAGTCTAACACCATTTAGGTATTAGTACTTAAAATACACAAAGAACAGCAACGCTAACACTAACAACTACTGAATGCACCTTTAAATTAGTATAATTTGTTAAATGATTAATATAAATGAATGACTGAATCAATGGACTGCAGGGCAATGATCCCAGTGGTCCAGTTTATAATCCAGCCCTGGCAAGAATAGCAGAAAGAGTCATGATGTAACTATCTGCAATCTACTATTCACACAGAGCAAATTCCACCCTTAACCACGTGCTGGCATTACCAGAGGTTCATCCACATAGATAAGTAGTTCCGCCCTAAAAAAGGACAATAAAAAAATATATACAGTATATATAGATAAAAAAAAATTTATTCGGGAAAGAACCTCACATTTGTGACCCTGGACCACAAAACCAGTCATAAGTAGCACGGGTATATTTGTAGCAATAGCCAACAATACATTGTATGGGTCAAAATTATAGATTTTCTTTTATGTCAAAAATTATTAGGATATTAAGTAAACATATTTTGTAATTTCCTACCGTATCAAAACTTACTTTTTGATTAGTAATATGCTTTGCTAAGGACTTAATTTGGACAACTTTAAAGGCAATCAATATTTTGATTTTTTTTTGCACCCTCAGATTCCAGATTTTCAAATAGTTGTGTCTCGGCCAAATATTGTCCTATCCTAATAAACCATGCACCAATGGAAAGCTTATTTATTCAGCTCAATTTAAAAAAATGTACCCTTATGACTGGTTTTGTGGTCCAGGGTTACATTTCTGCTTCTACACCCTCTGGAATACTGGCCCCTAGACTTCCTTTGTAATTGCACTGCTGTTCATGACAAGTCGATTACGTTCAGTGATTGGTAGCCATGACTCATATAGAACCCAGAGTACTCTGGAACCTGTAATGTGCAGGTACTGATGAAAGATATCCTTCTCTCTTCCTCCCTCAGGCTGTCAAGCAGAGCTGGGAGGGCTCATTTTTAGTAAGCTCAGAAGATTCTGCGGTAATAAGACTACCCTTATGACTGGTTTTGTGGTCCAGGGTTACATTTCTGCTTCTACGCCCTCTGGAATGCTGGCCCCTAGACTTCCTTTGTAATTGCACTGCTGTTCATGACAAGTCGATTACGTTCAGTGATTGGTAGCCCATGACTCATGTAGAACCCAGAGTACTCTGGAACCTGTAATGTGCAGGTACTGATGAAAGACTCATATCCTTCTCTCTTCCTCCCTCAGGCTGTCAAGCAGAGCTGGGAGGGCTCATTTTTAGTAAGCTCAGAAGATTCTGCGGTAATAAGACCATGTGGAAACTCCTCTCCATCGTCTCAGCGCAATGGATGCAGCGACCAAACGTACCCCATTCAGGAGGACAGCAGAAGCCCGGCAGCCAAGCAGCAGCCCGTCGATCGAGCAGGTCTGGCGTCCCGTGCAGCTAAAGGCAGCAGCTCATCCATCCCGTACATTGACTGCAGTGATGCAGAGTTTAGCGAACAGGAAGTCAGAGGTCGGGTCAGCAGGTCACACTCGCACACACGCGATGGCAACAGCGACAGCGCTTATGGCACCGGGTTTGGTTTGCCCCGGTCACACCAGCAGGACAGATACTTGGGAAAGTTCAGGCAGAGAGAGTCTCCGCCTCTTTCCCCTGTAAGCCAAGCCACAAGCCCCGCCCACAGCTACCCAAGCCCCTCCTCTCCAAATCAAAGTGCTAACATTTTCGAGTCGCCATTTTTTGGAGGCAGGGTACGTGAGCCGCTTCATAGCACACTACTGGAAGAGTTGGCCGCAAAAAGCTCCTTAAACCACCACACAGGCACCCGAAGCCTGACCTCTAGCCCCGCCCCCTCCTCAATTCACAGGACCAGCTCCCTAAGCTACGCCCAGTATAATGGATACACTGGGCGGAGCTTTAGTTCAAAAGCAGGACGGGAGGAAAGAGGGGGACTATTTAGTAGCTGCTCCCCAATTATGAATCGTTCAGCAAACAAGTCCCAGAACACCGTTAGCCAGTTAGAAAGAAACATGCGCATCTCGAATCAGCCACACCCTCCCGTTCTCTCCCGTGCCGAGAGAATGGCCATGTTGGAGCGCCGAATGCTGGCCAATGGGCTCACGCCTCCCGGCAAGGCCAATCTTAAGCCAAGCTCCCCGCACCGGCGCTTCGGGGCTGTGCAGATGATTGACGGCTCCACCAGTAGTGGAACAGACACTAGCGACTCAGAAGAGGCGGAGTCTACTGGCTCCTGCAGCCATTCGCTAGGGCTTGAAAACCAAGCCGCCCGTAGTTCGTCCCCCCTCCCCAGAAACAAGTACTCATTTGGAAGCTTGCAGCTAGATGAGCTTGACGATGGAGGGTGTGTGAACCTCAGTGATGAGGAAGGGATGCAAGTGTTTAACTGCTAGCATGCTAGTGTAAAAACCTCATAGCGGTGTGCTTCTCGGCGATGCCACACTGAGTTTTCTTTTCCTATAACCTGAGATGGCCTTAGCTGTGGGACAAGGCGGATATCCTTCCCTTTCTCGAGGCAAAACTCTATAGTTTTGCAGTAAGTGATTTTATCCAGCCTCTGGATTGAGCAAGTGGGGACTTTTGCGGTGCCAAGTTCTGCACAGAATGCTAATTACTCGCAGTTCTGATGCTGCAATAATCTGGAATACTTCAGGAATTCAGAGTGATGTTGTCACTCCCTGGAGTAAATTTAAGATCTCTGAGTTGGAAACATGCGAGGAGCAATAACAGGTAGATGTGAACGTGATTTTGTCAAGTAAGACGTGTTCCTGGATCCATATACTAGTTAGTCCTGGAGCAACTGTTGACCCATCAGATGTTTGGGTTAGGGTTAGATTTAGTCTTAGAGTTGAATCTGGGGCTCCAACAGCATTGTCAACTCATCGTTTCACTCTAATTTTTAAAGGTTAAGGGTGAGGCTGTAAAATGAATGTCTCTGAGGTAGAACACTTTTTGGGGCATTAATGCCTCTCCTTTATGAGGAACAATCTGCATAAACCATTACTTTTAGACTTTTTAATAACTGTAGGAAATCGAACTTTTAATCCTACTGTACAGTTGAAATGTGGTACTTTTAGAACAAGGCTGGGCAACTCTGGCCCTCAAGGTCCACTGTCCTGCAGAGTTTAGCTCCAACCCTACCTGTTGCTGTCTAGTAATCCTGAAGACCTTGATCGCCTTGTTCAGGGGTGTTTGATTAAAGGGTTAGTTCACCCAAAAATGAAAATTAGCCTGTGTTTTACTCACCCTCAAGCCATCCTAGGTGTATATGGCTTTCTTCTTTCAGACGAATCCAGTCGGAGTTATATTAAAAATTGTCCTGGCTATTCCAAGCTCTATCATTGCAGTCAATGGGTGTTTCTGTTCAACAGTCCAAAACACTTAAAATAAAGCGCGCGCATCTATAATAAAATGTGCCGCTCCGGCGGGTGAATAAAGGCCTCCTGTAGCGAATCCATGCATTTTTGTAAGAAAAATATCCATATGGACAGTGTTGGGGAAAGTTACTTTTAAAAGTAAATATATATATATATATATACATACAAATTTTTTTATAAAATCCAACTGATCGTTTTGCTACATAAGACCCTTATTCCTCGGCTGGGATTGTGTTTAGCTGGATTATGTATATTTGATTGGGGCTAAATTCTGCAGGATCTTCAGAACTTCATCTTCATTAATATTCTTAATCATCAGTTTGCCATTTGTACATTTGTGCTGGCGCTCACAGCTGCTTCTTCATGGAATCATTTAAAGAACAGTGTGATTTTTAAAGATTCACTCATCCTGAGCTTTGGCTAAAGATCTTCATATCATGGTCTTCATTGTGTGGCTTTTTTCTCCTTCTGGCTGAGCCTCTGTTTACTATGAGAAATTAGCAGATTCAGAGACTGGACAACTTTAACGGTATCTTAAAATCCTGCATGATTTTTTTATTAGCTAGATTTGAATGTCAGCATATTGAATATAAGGGGTTTTGTCCTATTGTTTCAGAATTGTGATGAATGTATTTGTCAGTAAGAGATTTCAGTTTATGAAATGAAGATGCTGTCATTGTATACTCACCTTCATGTCATTTCAAATCTGTATGACTTTTTCGTCCCTCCATGGAACACAAAAGAAAACATTCTAAGGAAAATGACAGAAGTGTACAGTTTATTGGTCTCCGTGGGTTTGGAATGACACGAGGGTGAGTAGGTAATGACAGAACTGTCCCTTTAAGCTATATGATGGTTCAGTCTATAGAGAGAAAGTGTCACAGCATGTGTCTGCGTCTCACTGTGTTTCACTCTCTCTCCCTCTCTGAGCACCTCTACCTTACCTTGCACATGGGTTTACCTGTTATCCTTCAGCAGGGATTGGAAAGGGCATTTCAAATAGGGTTTTTGATATTTTAATTAAAATTGCATACCTGTTGTAGTATTTTCCCAGAAAAAAAATCTATGGAAATGTGATAATGCCATGTAGCACATGTGTATCTAATCCCTGCCTGATTTCTCACTCAGCTTTGATGTCACTGCACTATTGGCTGATATTCACTATTGTTTTGTACCTTTTCTTTTCCGCCCCGTTTTTGTCTTCTTCTGAAACCGCTTGAGCTTGTCATTGTTGTCATTTATGATCAATAAATGCTTGTTATGTTTTCTGCTGGCATTTAAAATGGAATGAATGAATTTGTAACTAATGGTGTTTTTAAAATGCTGGGCTGCATGCTCTCCCTTCATATGGCTGTACTGTTCTATTTCAATGAAAGCTGAAAGGCAGTGCATTCTGGGAAATTTTCAGACATGAAAATTTGAATATCCTTATGAATGTCTGTGACATGACTGATCTTCTTTTGTTTGTTCACACAATGATCAAATTACACACCAGGATTGTTTAGAAATCAACTTGACTGCCTAAAAAAAAATGACGTCACCTGCTGTTCATTTGTGTGAATGACATGCTGATGATCTTTCTCACACCTTGGCTGTGTTCAGAATGGAATACTAGCGTACTGTTTGCTGCACACTACATACTGTATACTTCACGCACGTTTTAAAAAAAATAAGTATTTGAAGAATGAACTATGCAACAAACATTTCAAATAAGAGTAAGCTATACTGTTGAAACTTACCCTAACAACAATGCACGTTTAAGTGGCCTACATTTAGAAAATGAAAATGAAACATTTTATTGTTTATTGTTTTAGTCTGATCAAACAATCAGTACGTCTAGTTCTTTTATCACACTGGGAATTTATATCACGCACAGTACATACTGCATGTAACCAAACTACATAGACTGCACAGCAAGTACGGTAGTACGGTAGTTGCTATTCTGAACATAGTCGTTCCCTCTCTTCCTCTGTCTCTCTCATTCAGCACTGTTCAAGCTTAATCTCTGTTCTGATGTTCCCTGCCTGTTCCTTCTCAATGACTTTTGGTTCTGCTGCTCTTTATAAACCACATAGACTTTTTAACAATGTATTTTGTGCACTAGTGTCAATAAAGTTACAGTTGGCCTTTGAAGACTCAGGAATTGTTTTTTAAAGCTTATAATGCTCATATTTTTCATGATCCAACCCTCCTTCCCTCTCACTCACCCCCCACCCCCTCCCCGCTGTCTATGGCTGCACAGCGCATGTCTCGCTATCTGTCCACACATGTATGTATATAAAGTGCAATGTCTGTATGGCGTAGTGTGAATTGTTTATATTGTTTGTATATGTTGTTGTGTACATGGAGTAGTTTGTGCTGTAAATACACTGCCATTTACAAGATTGGACACGTTCCTTATTATTACAGTTTTCCACTTTTTCAAGTTTTTTTAAGCTTCTTATCCAGCTATCACTCAACTAACTTTAAACTGTATAAACTGCCGGCGACTTGTTGATACTTTTCTTTCACTTTCTGCCCTTAATTGTATTGAATGTGGACTTGTAGTGTACTTGCAGATAGATAATGTAATATTAATAAAGTAAGATGGCTCTTAAGTGTACTTAAAGAGAGCAAACTTTCTTAACTTTGCCTCTTAACACACTTAAGTACACTTTTTAAAAGTACAGAATGTCAAATTAAATCAAAAGTAAAGTTTACATTTTAAATCATTATGTTTTAATAATTTTTGTTGTGCTTTAATGAAGTACACTTACTTTGATGTGTTGACTAATATACTAAAGCACATGTGAAGCACTTGATTATAATTGTAACTGTATTGTTGAGATTACATTTAAAGTTAATATCTTTTAAATGTACTGAATTGCAACTTTATCATTACAAATGTGTAATTACAAATATTTTGAATTACATGACATACAAATTAGAAATAGAAATAACATAAGTATGTTTAAGTTGACTATAAATGCTTGTCGGTACACTCACTTTAACCATATTTCAAAGACAATAGAACAGAAGTAATTATGAAATTACATATAATGTACTTAAGTGAAAAAAATGTGAAGTTTATCTACTTGTATTATATCAATTTCAACTACGATACATTTTTATTTAATCGTAGTTAAATGAAATGTTTCTGAAAACATTGCAGTGAGTTCGCACTTAAGTATATTATTTCCATACTAAGAAGTACGCTTTTTAAAAGTATGCTGAAGTGTACTTCCTTTTTCACACAGGGGCCCAACTTGTCTATTTCAAATGTTTAGTTTAAAAGCTTTTAGGATCATGAGAAACGTGTTCACAGCTTTGACTGCTAGTGTATACTGTATGTCATTAAGACTGCTTTGCACTCACACCTGCTTTATTAATCATGACTGCACTACTCAAAGGAAACACACGAGGTGGATTTGGGCAAGTACTGAGGAAAAACCTCCTGTAGGAGTAGAGATTTGTGGGAAGTGCACTAGACTAGAGGAACAATGAACATAGACGTGCATACTTAGTATTTATCAATTATTTATGTCTTTGTTTATTTATTTATTTAGACACAAGAACTGTTACTGCCGTACCAAAAATGCAATGGCAATACCATCGTACAGCAACTTTTATCAAAATCTCGGTGTTGTACAGTATGATCACTGTACTATGGTATTCACATGGTACTTCCATAAATAGCATGCTACTCCCATGGTTAATATTCAAAAGAAACATGGCAGTACCATGGTATTTTTGTACTTTTTTTGGTATTGTTGCATTTTTGCATGCTAAAATAAGTGAAAGTGAAGTCTAAATGCACACATCACATATCGAAACGATAAATATAAAGGGAATCTGCCTCAGATCTGTGCTCATGATCTTCATCTGTGCCTGTCTGTCGTTCTCAGAGGTGACGTGTGCTTTACTTAACGGTCACGCTGATGACTGTAGAGGAGCGACGCCGTCTCCTCTCATCTCACCCATGCTGAATGACACTGGTGCCATACGCACTGATGACGAGGAGGACAACAGGAGGAAGGTAAGATCTGTGGACGAAAGGTTTTGACTGTACAGTCAATAGTTCTCAAAAGCATTAGGAATTGTTGCATGGTACCATAGCAGCCCAATGTTGAGAATCAGAATTTTAGAATTTAGCATTTTAGAATGATTTCTGAAGGATCATGTGACACTGAAGACTGGAGTAATGATGCTGAAAATACAGCTTTGCAACAAAGGAATAAATTACAATTTAAAGTATATTAAAATTACATTAGCATACGTGCATTTAAATTACATTTAAAATAAATGTCAGTGTGGCTTGATTGTGTTTATATGCATGATAAACCATTTCTATTACTCAACTGTAGTATACACGTTTAACTCTTTCCCCGCCAGTGTTTTTGAAAACAGTTACCAGCCACCGCCAACGTTTTTGCTAATTTTCACTAAAACTTAAAACAGAATATTTTGTTGTATGAATATCTGAACATTCAATACATCAAAATAAAGATCAGACCCTTTACTTTAAAAAAAAAAATCTGTTTTATTCTAGCTTCAAGCATTGTTTTTTTTATCAACACTTGAATGTAGGTCGGTTTCATAAAAAAGCAACATTTTGAGCAAAAAGCTGAGAAAATTGCATTTTTATCAAATACATCTGGATCATATTCAGTCATGTTATCAAAGCAAAGAAGCAGTAGATGACTTCCATCAGTACTCCCAAAGCTTGCACAGGCCTTTACCACTTTCTGGATTGACATTTCACTCTGTAACATTAGGCAGTTTTCATTTATATGCGGTTAGTGTTGATGATGGCATTATTTTTCATATGCATATGCTTACATGTGGGATCGCTCCTTTCTGCGTCTTCCTGGTCTGTGTTTTTGATCTGCACTTTACTCATTCAGGAGATGTGTAATAGCGCCCCCTAGCGTATAACAGCGAGAACGCGGAAACCCGGAAAATTCCGTGTTTGGCAGGGAAAGAGTTAATGTCAGTTTTTATGAAGTGTCATATTGTGCTGATGACTTGTATTGCATTGTGTGTGTTTGTGCAGAACTGTCCCGCTGATAATGCATACTGCATTGCTAAAGAGCTGCTGTGTACTGAGAGGACATACCTGAAGGACCTGGAGCTGATCACAGTGGTATAATGATGGACAGACTCTTCATCAGATCTCCACACACACACACACACACATTCCTGTCTAGCCACAGTGGGCGGGTTTCTATTCAAATATAGAGCTCATGTTTCCTGTTTCAGCCCACAAAACACACAGTGTAGTCATCAGAGACTGTGGATCAGGTTTAGAGATGTGTGTGTATGTGTGTGTGTGTGTGTGAGAGAGAGAGAGTACAGAAATGGGGCTATGTTTACAGACATGAGGGCAATGTGGCTTTTGTAGGACTCTGCCACAGTTTAACGCAGCAGTGTATCAGCACATGGGTTCTGCTTACTTTATCAGCTACACACCTAACATGAACCACACACTCAGTCCAGTGATGAGTACAAAATTTGGAGAAGGTCTCTAATCTCATGTTAGGCTAATGTATTATATATTTAATTAATATTATCAGTTAGTTTTATTAGAATTGTGTAAGTTAATATTGTGTCCAGAATTATAGACTGCACACTCAGTATGGTACTTTTTTTTAAAGTTTGGTGTCGGTAAGAGTTTTTAAAAGAAGGCTCTTATGCTCCCCATGATTGCATTTATCTGATCAAAAATACAGTAAAAACAGTAATATTGTGAAGTATTTTTACACTTTAAAATATATATTTTTCTATTTTAATATGTAATTGTAATGTAAAATGTAATGAATTCCTGTGACGCAAAGCTGAATTACTCCAGTCTTCTGTGTCACATGATCCTTCAGAAAAATATGATGATTTGCTGCTCAAGAAACATTTATTGTTATTATCAGTGTTGAAAACAGTTATGCTGCTTCATATTATAGTATTTCATAACATAACATATATGTCATGTTACAGAAAGAACAGCATTTATTTGAAATTGAAAATTTTAGTTATGTCTCTACTGTCACTTTTGATCAGTTTAATGCGTTAAAAGTATTATATATATTTTTTTAAATAAATTTTACTGACCACAAACTTTTGAAAGGTGGTATATATACACATACTATATCATGAACTACACTCAACAAACTGCACACTTATTAAAATTTTCATTATAGGAATAGTTACTCAATGCACATAGAAACCACAGAGCTATAAGCTACAAAATGATTAATTTACAAGCAGGTATAGGTTTTGTAATTATTATTGATATGTGTGTGTGTGTGTCTGTGTCTGTCTGTGTGTGTGTGTGTGTGTGTGT